ATTCCTTATAAAAGGAAGATGGGTAGCTAATGCATGTCCTTTTGCCTTTCTCCTCTTCCTCTTTTCGCTGCCAGAGCACACATGGTTGCTATTGCCCCAACAGCTGTCTTTGACCTAAGGTGATGCACTAAGAATGTAGGAAGAATTATGATTTAAGGCAGCATGATTTAAGACATCACGGCTCTCTGATAAGAGTGGAGCCTTCAGGCCCTCTACACTGCCTATTTTGCAGATTTGCAAAAGAGAAACCTAAAAACTTATGTTGTCCCTTGCTTTTGGAGGTTGCTTTCTGTTACACACAGCCAAACCTAACCCTAACAGATACAAAGGCAATGATCACTGTGGAAGCAGCCTATATCCAGACAATATGGCAGCAGAAGGGTAGATCCCAGCAGCTCAGATTACCTCTTAGGCTTCCTCAGCCTCTAAACTGAGCCCTGAGGGTAGCAGTGATAAGGTAGCAGGGAACTGCCAGCACATATCCTAACTAAGCTAGAGATTCAGTCTTGAACTGTCTTGAGCTGTGCCTCTAAACCAGTGATGGTGAACCTGTCAGAGCTTTCAAGGATACAAACAGCCCACTGTGGCATGCGTGCCATGGGTTCACCACCACTACCCAGACCATCTACCATCTACCCGATATCCAGCAGCCCTGATAATAAAACACTGTCTACAGAAGCCACAAAATGAAGGCCAAGATTAGTCAGGGCCATTTGAAGATATAGAGAATTATTTTAATTTTTAAGTGTTAATACCATTGTACTTATACATCTATTTTTAAATTTTCTTATCTTTTAGAGACAGACTGAGGTATTTATAAATGAAATGATGGCTAGGATTCTCTTCAAAATACTTTGATAGATGAAATCGATGAGGATATAGATGAAACAAGATTGCCCATGAACTGATCATTGTGAATGCTGGGAACACGAGATGCATTATATTACTTTCTACATTTCTTTATTTGAAATTATTCATTTAAATCAAAGAAAAATAAGAGTAGCCCAAAGAGAATTCCACTCCACTGAGGAGGGTCTGGTGGAAGGAGGCTTGGGCCAGAGGCAAGTGCAGTTGAGCAGTGGGTTTTGCTCCTGTGGGAAGTCCACTGACACTATGGTACTCAGCCATTCAAACTCTGGTCTTGCCGGCCTGGCCCATTTGCAACTGTACTGACAGGTGCGAGCCACTTCTGGTCCATCTCTTCCTTCTTGCGGATCATACAAAGGTTCAGTGAGAGCACTGCAAATTCCTCTTCCATCTCCACATTTGCAATGTTAGGGAAAATATCACTTGTCACTGGTAATACTGAGCACTGTTGTAAATTCTATGTGCTGAAACAGCTTTGTGGTCCAAAGTTTATGAAGTATTTCTTCAGAAACATAAACCTTGGTGCAGAGTTTGAAAAGTAACCTCTTTGATGTTGGACAAATAAATGCCTTCATTCTCTGCTGAAGGGAGGGTTAGGGGTCTGCCTTTCTCGTAGATTAGTAGTATGTAGGGTTGAAAAAATATGGTTAACAACCTAAACGGTCAAACGTAGAGTCATGAGTAAGAGAAGGATGGTAGGTTTATACAATGGAATATGCCATAGCTACTAAGAATGTTTATGAATAATTTATAATAGCATGGGAAGGCTTTGTCTCCTATGTTAAATGAAAACATCAGGGCACAAAACTGTTTATTCAACATAATCCCCATAATGTAAAATATACACTGATATGGAAACAAAAGGAAATACTCTCTGTCTTAATTGCCAAGCTGATGAGATGAAAAATTGTTCCTATCCATTTTGTTTTCCTTAGGGTAGATGCAGACCTGGGACACAGGAGACCTGAATTCGAATTTTTTTTTTTTTTTCGTACCGGGGGTTGAACTCGGGACCTTGGGCTTTCCAGGCAGGAGCCAGAACCACTGAGCTAGAGCCCCGGCCCTCCTGAATTAGAATATGAGCATCTTTAAAGCCTAGGTTTTCAGCCAGAGATTCAGCCAGGACCATGGGACAGAATTCAAGGATGTTGTAAACTTGGATTATAAAAACATTTACATCTTGTTGGGTGTGGTGGCACACATCTGTAATCCTAGCACTTGGGAGGCTGAAGCAGGAGGATCGCCATGAGTTTGAGGCCAGCTTGGGGTACATAATGAGTTCATGGTCAGCCTGAACCGAATAGCAAGACCCTGTCTCAAAAAATTTTTACATTTTTATTTTATTATCCTCTAAATAAATTTTTCTGAATCCTTTATTGTGGTAAAATATACATAAAATAAAATTCAGTATTTTAAGTATACATTTTGTTGGCATTGAGTATGCACACTGTTGTGCAACCATTACCAGACCGAAATTTAATATTTTATTTAATTATGAATGCACTCAATGAACTGCAGTAAATTCCCAGTACCTGTGACTCTGACACTCATAGAAATCAAAGTATTTTTCCTATCACATTACGGTCATGACTAGGTATGTTGAAACATCCTTCATGTTCCTCTCGGCTTTGAAATTAGGCTGCTATTAGAACTGCCACAAAATCTTGTTATTTAATGTAAAGTTCCCAGATGACAAAATTGTTCAAAAACTCCTTTAGCCATATTGTAGTATAAAAGTTGTCCTTGGTAATCCTGTGTATTTTATGTATTTAAAAACACTATTTTGCAAAGGAATTGATAAGTTTCAACAGATTGCCAATGGGGTTCACAGGGCAAAAAAAAAAATGAAGAAACCCTCAGCAGATGTGTTCCTGACAGATGGGCTGATTAGGGTGTTAGTTACCCACTACACACAAGAACTGTTCACCGACAGATGTCTTTGGGATCTCAGAATGCTTCCGATTGCTCTGCTCAAGATGGAGCCTAGGACAGTATGACACCACCTCCATCTGCCCATGCATTTTCCCACTGTCTGTATCCCTTAGCAAACAGTATTTGGTGGACCTCAAGAGATATTTGTGAGTAATCGGGAAGTAAATGTTGGAAAGAGATGTGGCAAAGGCACAAACAGGGAAGCCTGATGGGGCCAACAGAGAGCTGGGCTGCTTCGCCCCTAACTTCACAGCCAATCAACATCATGCTCGGGGAAAGAAGCCAGGCACAGAAAAGACAAACCTGCATGATCTTGCTCATATGTGGAATGTGAACAAGTAGGCGCAGAAAGAATGGTGGATGCCAGTGGCTGGAGTCGGGAGATAGAGAAATGTTAAAGGGCACAAAATTTTTCAGTCAGACGGGAGGAATAAGACTGAGAGATCTATTGCACAACGTGGTGACTTTAGTTAATGACAATGTGCTGTATAGTTCAAAATTGCTAAGACCGTGGATTTTAAGTGCTCTTGCAATTGTAAAAGATTATGATGTGAGGTAATACACATGTTAATTAATTTGCTTTAGTCACTCTGCAACATATACATAAACCAAAATATGTTGTACACCATAAACCCATACACTTTTTGTCAATTCAAAGAACTAGTTTTTAAAAACTCAAATCCAGCTGGGGATTTAGCTCAGTGGTTCCACCGCCTGCCTGGCAAGCACAAGGTCCCAAGTTCGATCCCTGGTACCAAAATAAAAATAAATATTAAAAAAATTAAAAATCAAATCCATCAACAAGGTAGGGCAACACCCAGTGAGGAAAACTAGAAGTTTTTTTTAAAAAATGCTATAAGCACTTCTCCAATATACTTTTTATTAAAAACTGGAGAAAGTAACGTGTATGTAATGAGTGGTATAAAGCTTCAGTCTAGCAACAGAGTAGTATGAAAATATATGAGTAGGTTTTAAGAGAATTGGCAAGATCCCTACTCTGCAAACTGGCATCCATTTCCCTAATGTATTTTTTTCTCTCTTAAAAAAATGGGGATTAGGGCCGGGAATTTAGCTCAGTGGTTTCGCTGCCTGCCCTGCAAGTGCAAGGACACGAGTTTGATCCCCAGTACCCCCCCAAAAAAATGGGGATTAGATATGGCACTGGGGACTATATTGGCCATGACCACTATTTGATAATTTTCTGTGCATATAAGAAATTTTCCCCATGCATCCCAAGTTCTATTCAAATGAAAAGATTCTCTACTGTTGATAAACATCTACCTAACCTACAGTCACATTCTCTGAGTCACCATCGATGCCTGCCCCTCACAAGACACCTAGAGAGATGCTCTCAGAAGTCTCTGTGAATCCAAATCCCTGATGTGTGACTGGCCAGGAATGGAGACCTGACTCCTGCCAAGCTGTTATGGTTTATATCTAGATAACCCCAAGAGCCTCATGTGCTCATAGGCCAGGCTTCTGGAAGGCGACTGAACCATGCGGGCTTATAGCAGACGTGCTGTTGGGAAATGGGATCTGGTAAGAAGAGCTGGGTCCCTGGGGACACGGCCTAGAAGGATGTATCTCCCTCCCTGGCTCCTCCCTTCACAGTCAGCTTCCGGTCACTATGACTAGAACAGCTTTCCTCCACCATGCGCCACTGCCCTGCTGTTTCCTGCCTTAGAGTCTGCCAACCACAGACTGAAAACATGAGCTGAAATAAACCTCTCCTTTAAATTGTGGGGTGTCAGGTATTTTGTTCCAGTGACAAGAAAGTAACTAAAACACAAGGCAATCAGATTCTCTCTCTTAGGAATTTGGAACTGAGACATGGCGTTACTCCCTGGTGATCTGAACACTGGAGGTATAAGCTGAGGGATTGTGGGGTACATATGTTTGGAGCTGTGCATGCCGAGGCAGACAGCAACTCAGCCCAGGGCAGGGCATGGGTGTTCAGTGACAAGCAGAGAAAATTCCAGGAGCTCAGTTCCACCTGCTGCCCAGGGTCTGAATCCACATTCTAGAAATCTCCTTTGGGCTGGAACTGGTCTGCATGGGGCCCCAAAGAGCTGGGAGTCTGCACCTATGGAACCCCCAGAGGGCAACTCAGGACCATCCTAGCCCTCTCTTCCCAAATCATCCTCAACACCCCACCAGTCCACTCAGAAAGCAAGCAAGGAGTGGTGGCCCAACCAGCATACCTCGGGTCTGCCGATGCTTCTGCGGACCCGAGCTCCAACCCCTTCAGACTGCTCCCGGCTGAGCACCAAGAGAGTAACCTTCTTCGAGGAGCCCATGTCGAGGTCTACAAAGAGAACTGTCCTGATGCTGAGCTGTAGAGGATGGAGAGCAATTAAAGAAATAACAAAACAGAAGTCATAGGGAGCAGCTATCCAAGGACTACAAAATAAAAGACATTAGAATTAGACTTTCTCAGCATAGTAACAGCTATAATTACTGGGTGCTTATTATGTATAGGCCCCGGATTAAGTGAAAAAAAACAACAGTGACAATGGTGAACGTGTACACTCACTTCCTAGGGCCTGGTACCCCACTGATTATTTACAGTTACCTCATATAATCCTATAGGCATCTTGTACAAGGGCCAGCAGTAACAGCTCTCCTGAGCACTTACTAAGTCCCTCTAATGAGCGTTTCCTCTGCTTTACCTCACTGGACCCTCAGATGTCCCCAGACAACTCCAGTGCCACCCCATAAGGCAGGGTAACAGACTGGGGGAGGGTTTGTGTGGCAACACAGGGAACACAGAAAACCCAAAAAGTCTGTGACTCACCCCAGAACGTGCTGAAGATCTTGGCACTGAAAAGGATCTTGAAGGGTCATGGAATTCCAAGACCCATCTATCCCACAAGTTCAGGGGCAACATTTTAGGCAAGCAACCTTGGAGTTTTCCCATGAAGTCCGCTAAAGCGCAGGCAACTCATGGAGGTGCTGCCCTAGGCGATGCATCTGTATCTCAGGACCCAGCTATATTCAGTTTCTTACTCACAGGTGTTTCCTCTACGAGGGGTCTAAATTCTCCCCATTGGACCATCACCGAACAGATGTAATCGACCGCTTCCCACTTCAAGTGTTTGCAGACAGTAACCCCAACTCCTCAAATCTTTTCTACAAGTGAAATATAACAACTGCCTTCAAAGACTCCCACTGAAACCACAGTTCTATGGCAAGAGGGAGATTCTGGAGCCAAACATCCTAGGATTGCATCCCAGCTTCAGCACATGCCAACCAGTCCTCTGACCTGGGGCTCTGTGCCTCAGTTTCCCCATGTGTAATTGGGAGTAACAGACTGCCTAGCTCAAAGGGGTGCAGTTAGTGTTATGAGAATATTACCAGCTGTTATTCAGAGGGGATCCACCTAGCAATACCCTGCAGTCAGCCAAGGCCTATCCTAAAATGTATCTGCTCTGAATGCATAATTAAGATTTACTGGCTAATGGAGCAGGAGGCAGAGAGGTGAGTTTAATACTTACAGTAGTACAGGCCTGTCAGCATCCACTCACAAGCAACTAGGAAGTATTTTTACCCCCAGCTAGACTAGTCTGGGTCCTCCCAGACCCCACAATTAAATTCTCAGCATGTGAACAACTGATCAGGTATTTATCAGACTTCAGCGCGCTGCAGAAATAAAAGCCGCCTGCCACTTTCACCAAACCTCAGCACGATTTAAGCATCTCTCGCTGTCTCCTCCATGATTCTACAGCCGGCTGGGGGAAGGCAGGACTTTGCAAACAGATCGCCAAAATCCCCCACCCAGCCCACCCCGACGGGGACCCCGGGCACTCACGCGGCGGTGGCAGCGCCCTAGAAGGGGGCTGCGGTGGCACCGGGCGCTTCTGCAGAGGCAGGGGCGCGGGGAGCCGGCTCCGAGCGCGGGGAGGGAGGGTTCACAGGGCCTAGCGCCTCACCGTGACTCAGCTCTTCTCTGCGCTGGCCTCAGGGAGGCGGGGGTCCCTGGGCCTTGGGGGAGAGGGACAGGGGTGCTGGGCAGGGGCGGACACCCTATTTACCCTCGGCGCCGATCCTGTCGCCCCGCCCTGCGCCTCTCTGGGATCAGCTCTGCTGCCCTTTGCTTTGGCCTGGCGCTCCTCCCGGGCCACGCAGAGGAGATGCGCTCCCCGGCCACTGGGGGGCGTGCTGGGCCCCGAGAAGGGTGTAAATTAGAGTTCAACTTTGCTGGGAAACCAGTCTAACTGGAGTCTATTTGTCACTCATCCCGCTGAGCTGGCTGCACGGATTCCAATGCTTCCCCCACTCCTTGCAGGCGCCACTTGATGTGACCTTCAGCAGCCCGCAGGCGGTTCAGATGGCGATGATAGTAAGGCAGTACCAACCTCTGAGGGCAGTAATGAGTTAGGTGAGCCTGCCGTGTCGTAGGCACTGCACAGTTGTCTGCTGAATAAATAAGTCTTCCTGCTGTCGTGGGGTCGGAGGTGAGAACGAGGCAAGAAGCTGACACATTTCTGTTTCTGCCGGAAGAGGAGACACACTGTAGGGGGAGATAGTTGGCCACGAGCTAGACTGTTACCTGAGCCTGGTGGCCTGCAATCCCAGCACTGTAGGAGGCTACAGCTGGAGGGTCACAAGTTCAAGTCCTCCCTGGAAAAAGGGCCAGGGGTGTACGTAGTTCAGGTGAAGGCCCAGGGTTCCATCCCCAGTGCCCAAAACAAATAAGTAAATGAGCTTGGTTGATGTAGGGATACCTTGACCAGGAATTGGAAACTTGCGTTGCACCTGCAGGGAGGCGACCTGGATTACTGCTGGGCCTATGAACCAGAAGTGCAGGTAGGGCTGTGCCTCCTGTTCTGTAAACACGAAAAAGTGCCCGCTTTTGAGAAAGGAAAGAAAGTGGCGCCTCTAAAACAAGGTGAGCAAACTGTATCTGTAAAGGACCAGAGAGTAAATATTTTAGACTTTTCAGGCGGCATAGATTTTCCGTGGAGCCTGCCCCAGTTTACCTTTGCATCAAGGAAACAGACATAAATAAATGGATGTGACTGTATTTCAATAAAGCGTCAATGACAGATACTGAAATCTGAATTCATAGGAGTCATATCATTTTAAATTTATATAATTTTCACTTCTCAGAAAAGGTTATTCTTTCAATCTTTTTATTTCAACCACTTACACTGTAAAAACCATTCTTAGCACTCGGACTATACAAAAATAGGTAACAGGCTACATTTCCACTTGATTCCGCCTCAGTTTGTAAGCTCCTGCTCTAAAGAAAACACAGGTTAGTAGAGGAACAAAGACTTTTTCCTGGGCTCGCTATATACAAGTGGAGCTTAGACTCCCCCCACTTGACTTGGGTCATTCAAGGCTAAATGAGATCATATATGTCAACATTGAAAGTGCCATGGTATAATAAAGTCTTGTCGCTTATCATCATTACAATTACTTGTGCAACTGTCTCCAAGTAAAATAGAAATATGAGCACTGTCCGGCACCCTGCAGTCCTTATAAAATGATTCTGCATTTCCTACCAGAAAACTCAACATTCAGCCAATTGCCTGAGCCTGAAATGCAAGCTCTCCCTCTTGCTCTTTCACTTTGAAACGCTGTGGATCCTGATTCCTAATATCTCTCAATGCATCCAGTCCTTCCCGTTCTGCCCATCTTTTCCAGTAGCTACACCACTCTTCCTGGTCTCAAGCTTGCCACTGGCCTATACATTCTCCAAGTTGTAGGCAAATGGAGTAACAATTAACTAAAATCCTTAGTGGCTTCTTATTACTCTCCAAAGAAAGTTCTGTGGTATCTTCGAACTGGCCTTACCCTTTAATAGCTTGCTTCACGAATAGCTTGCTTAACACACACACACACACACACACACACACACACACACACACACACCATCCCTTCCCACTATGCAGAACTTTTTTTTTAATTCATTAAGTTTATTGGTACATTTTAGATATACAGTACAGTTACATTCATCATTGGGATCTTCTACCTGTACATGATGTATCTTGGTTCTTATTTTTCCCCCTTCCCCTGCCCTCCCTTCACCCCCTCCACCCCTCCCTATTTACAAAGACTTTGTTTCCATTTTTTCATTTTCTCATATTTTTTCCTTTCCCTTCTTTCCTTTCCCCTACCCCTCCCACTTTCCCTAGCCCTTTAGACCTTTTCTTCCTATTTCACAATATCAATTATACATTTTGATCCTTATTTACAGTTTCAGTTTCTCACACCAGAGAAACTATTCAGTATTTACACACGTGTGTCCTATTTATATCACTTAAGAGTATGGCCTCAATGTCCATCCATTTAGCTATAAATGTCTCTAGTTTCTCATTCTTTATGGCCAAGTAGTACTCAATTTTATAGAAAAACCCCATCTTCTTTATCCAGTCTCCAGTTGATGGGCATTTGGGCTGTTTCCAAGTTTTAGCTCTTACAAACTGTGCTGCTATGAACATGGGTGCACATATATCACTGTGGTCTGATTCTTTTAATTCTTTGGGGAAGATCCCCAGCAGGGGAATAGCTGGGTCAAATGGGACTTCCAGTCCTAGTTCTTTGAGGTATCTCCATACTAATTTCCACAGTGGTTGCATCAGTCTACACTCCCACCAGCAGTGGAGCAGGGTTCCTCTTTCCCCACAGCCCCGCCAGCATTTGTTATTGGTTGATTTCATGATAGCAGCCATTCTTTCTGGGGTGAGGTGGAATCTCAGCGTTGTTTTTTTTTTGTTGTTGTTTTTTTGGTGCGGAGGATTGAACTCGGGTCCTTGTGCTTGCACAACTCAGTGTTGTTTCATCTGCATCTCTTAAATGACCAGTGATGTTGAACATTTTTTCATATATTTATTTGCTGCTTTTACTTCGTTGTCTGAGAAGTGTCTGTTCATTTCAAATGCCCAGTTTTGAACTAGGTTTTTTAATTTGGGGGGTCTGATTTTTTTCAGTTCTTTTTTTTTAAAGTGTCAAGTCATTTATTTATTTATTTATTTATTTATTGGTACCGGGGATCAAACTTGGGTCCTTGCGCTTGTGCAGCAGGCAGCAAAACCACTGAGCTAAATCCCCGGCTTTCAGTTCTTTATATATTCTAGATAGTAGTCCTTTGTCTGAGGTACAGCTGCTAAAAATTTTTTTCCCACATTGTAAGTTGTCTCTTAGTTCTGTTGGTGGTTTCTCTTGTAGTGCAGAAGCTTTTTAATAAGGTGAGATCCCCGTTGTTGATTCTTTCTGCTAGTTCCCTTGCTACTGAGGTTTTGTTCATAAAGTCTTTTCCTATGCCAATATCTTCAAGAGTTCTACCTAACTTATCTTCCAGCAAGTTTAGTGTTTCTATTTTAATATTTAGATCTTTCATCCACCTCGATTCTAGTTTAGTGCATGGTGAAAGATAGGGGTCTAGTTTTAATCTCTGGCAGGTTGAAATCCAGTTTTTTCAACACCATTTATTAAAGAGGCTATCTCTCCTCCAGTGAGGATGGTTGGCTCCTTTGTCAAAGATGAGATACCAGTGTATTTTCAATGACACAGAAGCAGATATTCCTCCTCCAAGGCTTCTTAATCTTTCTGACTCCATGAGAAAGAAATCTTCCATTTGGTACTTCTCTGTCTTCAGCACCTCTTTACATTTGCTAATCTCCTTTTTAAGAAAGGGGGGCTGGCCTTGAGCCAGACAGAGAAGGTGGGACCTTCTAGAATTTAATAAGCAAAACAATAAAACATAACCTTACTCTGAGAGTCACCAAGTTTTGCCCTTGTGAGCTGGATACTTTCCTATTCCTTCATTTTAAAAAAGCTTGCTTTTAAAAATGTTTTCTTTGATAGTTTTCCATTTATAGTCATGAAGTTTCCTTTTCAGACAAACTGAAGTAAAAATGTGAATCAGTTTAAAGGACAATATGGCATAAATAGCACATGCCATAAATACGAGGATATGGCAAAAACAAAACAAAATGAATGGCTACGGACTAAGAAGTTAGGGAAGTGCCATCCTAGAACAATGGTCCTGTCTAGAATGTTCTAGGAACATTCTAGAATCATGAGGAAAGGCGCCACTGAACTATTCTGATTTCCTGACCATTGATGAGCTACCTGAACTGTTTAAAAGCTTACCAGAAACATGTTTTCTAAACCCATCCAATCCATCCAAAAGACTTGCAGCAGCTACTAAAATATTCAAAGAAACCACTTCCAACAGTGCTAGGGAGGAAAGGGACCAAGGGCTCCCCGCTCTGTCTGACTGAACTTCCTGTAAGGACGGACAGGCTCATACCTGCTGTCCAATGTAGAAGCCATAGTCAAGGTAGCTAAACGAACACTTGATGTAGCTGGTGCAACTTTTGAATTTTTAAATGAATATAAATTGTAACCGAAATAGCTGCCTGTGGCTGCCGCATGCTGAGAGACGTCCCTATAGGTCTGCCCTGTTCTTTGGGCCCTCCTGGCTATCGGGT